TCGTTGTCTGGTCGAGTAAACGGGAATGACGGCAGTCGACAATAAGACCGAAAGCAGTAAGAAAGACTGCACCAAGTATGGCAAAGTGCACGTCAGCAATGACGAACACCCGAGGGAAGAGATGCCGTAAACCGGTGTCCAACAAGAGGAAGCAGGTACCGAAGGTAACAATAGGCGAGGTGTTAACGGCCTTCGGGAACAATCCAGGGTTGGGGCACCAACGGTCGGTTGCTGAAGGAGGGATGAGACTCGGTCGAACGCCAGTGTTAACCAAGAAACGTCTGTCACTTTTGCTGACGTAAACGTAAAATGTGCGACCGGGTTTAGAAACGCTAGGAATATTGGTGACATTAACCTTCCTGTGGCCGGTTTTACCCGTTTGCTCAGATTGGAAATGAAGGAGCAGGGAGAAATAAAGCGACGGGCAATGGCATCGAAAGCAATGTGATGCCGGCAGGTGGCGAGGAAGATATGACCAAAAGAAGTTGACCGGAAATGCTTGGTATATGACCTCGGCGGTCTCTCAGATGAGGGTGCTGCTTGCTTTTGAAGATAAGCTACCTGCGCGGTAAGCTGCGCAATCGCAACCTTTGGATTTGCGAGTGGAGACAAAGGAACAACTGGAGGAATGGGTAGTGCGACAAGTGGTGGCTTGGTAAAACAGTATGTCTCCATCAGCTTTTCGGCCAATTGAGAAAGAGTTGCGGCACTAGCACCGTCAGAAACAGCCGCTAAAATGCGCTGAACTTCTGCTGGAAAGCTGTCCATAATCACTGGCTGACTATATCGTAGACTTGAATAATAACGTGTTCGGAGAAAGTTAACAGATGAAGGAATCACGAGTTAGCGATAGTAGCGCCGATGTCAGGACAGCCACAATCCTTTTTTCCCCAACAATTCTGTCCGCCCCCTTGCTCGTCTCCAGTGCTCGCTGCTTCGAGAGACAGCTGTTTCGACTCGCTGGGCTGAAGAACCATGATGACTTTGTGGCGGATAGCCAACGATGTTGTCCCCCCCCTCTTGTTCAATGAACGCTGCCTCGATAAGCAGTTGTTTGCGGCTTGCTGATCTGGGAGCCCTTGACACGGTTGACCGCACACACACACGCATGTGCGCAAGATAGTTGCGGCTGCCTAAGGGTCATTTGAAGTTTTCCACCCCCAGCCGACGCACCATGGGCCACTGTACGCAAAACCGCTTCGGACAATGCAACTCACCAATGGGACACCACATAGAATGACTCCAAAGCCACATAAAGGCAGCGGCCACCCCTCTCCCACCGCACATACTCCCCCAGGCGTGACTTCGCCCCACACACCTGTGGCTTTATTGGACGTGTGTCGTTCCTTTGTCTAGAG